TCTCAAAGCGGTTACCGGCCGAGCCTCAAGGTGGTGGCGACGCGGCCCACGTGACGGGGTCTTCCGCTTTGTGGGACCGCGTCGAAGAGGTGTGCAACCGGCCCCAGACAAGAGCCCCGTCCGTTCGGGGGGGACCGGCTGCAAGANAAGTGGCGGGCGAGGAGGAAGGCACAAGGGCCCCTCCTCCCCCGCAGCCTCGGCTTGGCCCCAAGCCGAAGAAGAAGACGGGCTTGGCGGGGATGGGGCGTGTTCCGTCCAGGGCGGCGGTCACGCTCACAATCCCCCCGGGTAGCACCTCGACTTATGCCGAGGTGCTACGGAGGGCGGCGCATACCCCGGTGGAGGGAGCCGAACTGTCGGGGGTTCGCCCCCGCCCCTCGGCCACTGGAGGCGTGGTACTTGAGGTACCTGGGGGGGCAGCCAATGCCGACCGGCTTGCCAAAGGCTTGGCTGCCGCCTTCAAAGAAGAGGTACGGGTGACCAGACCCCAGAAACGCGGAGAAATTCGCGTGAAGGGGTTGGTCACCACAATTGCCAAGGAGGACCTAGTTTCCTCCTTGGCTACGGGTGGAGGTTGCCCGAGGGAGGAAGTCCGAGTGGGTGAACCACGCTTCTCTCCCTCGGGCATTGGTACGGTGTGGGCGCGCCTCCCGCTGAGGGCGGCACGACGCGTCGTTAGCGCCGGGAAAATAAACATCGGGTGGGTCGCCTTGCCGGTGGAGGCCCTGGCGGCCCGCCCGATGCAGTGCTACCGCTGCCTGGGGTTCGGGCACCCCAGACAGCGGTGCACCGGTGTAGAGCAGCCCCCGCGCTGTTACAGGTGTGGNAGTGAGTCCCACCTGGCGCGGGGGTGTGCTGAGCCTGTCAGGTGCTCGCTGTGTGCGAGCCTTGGCAGGCCAGCAGGGCACCGGATGGGGGGGAGGGCTTGCCCTCGCCCTCAACCGGCGGGCAGTGCGGGAGGTCGGGGGTCAACGGCGGTGGGGCCGGGCCCTACGAGGTCCTCCGCAACGCCCATTGCGGTGGTCTCACCCCCGAGGCAGGAGTCGGTCGTGGACGGGGTGAGACCAACGGTGGAGGAAGCGGTGCCTCCCATTACTGCCCCTGTCAAGGGGAGCAAGGGAGACAAGGCTCCTGGGAAGGGAGGGACGAGAGGGAGCCCCCCGACCCCGGAGGTGGTTGCAGAGGAGGAGATGGAGACGGAGCCGGAGCCCCTCCCCAAGAGGAAGGGCTCTAGCGACCCGCAAGCCTCCGTCTCCTCCAAAGAAGGTGGTACCCCTTCTTNCCCCGCTGTGAAGCGGGCAAAGGGGGGCAAGGGCAAGAGAGGTCGTCCGGGCCCCAGGTCCTCGAAGACTTAGTCTCCGGAACTTGGGGTCGCGGTGAGGGGTCTATCCCGGGTCTCACCACCCGGGAGGGTGGACCATTCCCCGGATGTTGGG